TTAGTGAATGACACTACCCTATTGTCCAGGCCAAAAATCCAAGAGTCATTTTAGATGTCCTATCTTTCCCTTCGTACCTCCTCAACCCATCCGTGAGCTAATCATATCAGTTCTGCATCCAATAATATGTTTCCAATCAGTCTATTTTTCTTCATATCCACTGTTACTACTCCAATCCAAGCCACCATCATCCATTTTCTGGATAACTGCAATAGCATCCTTGCTGGTTACCTGCTTCCATTCTTGCCCCAGTACAATCTATTCTACTCACAGCAGTCAGAGTGATCTTTAAAAACCCTAGATCATGTTACTCCCCTACTTAAAACACTCAATGGCTGCCCATTGTGATTAGAATAAAATCCAAACTCCTCACCACGGTTTACAAGCTACTGTTTGTCTCTGCCTACCTCCTCAATCTACTACTGTTCCCCTCATTCAGCCAGAGCCCTGCTTACTTTCTTTCACAGGCCAAGCATGGTCCTGCCTCAGAATCATTGCACTGGCTATTCCCTCTGCCTGGAATACTCTTTCTCCAGATCATTGCATGGCTGACTCCTTCTCAGGTCTCTACTCCAATGTCATCTCTGAAGAGAATCTTTCCCTGACCATCTTACCTAAAACATTCTCCCTTCTGCCACCACTCTATTCCATTATCCTTTTTTAGTTTGTTTATTGGTCTTATCCCCACCTAAAATTGTCATATTTATTTGTTTTTTCTTTTCTCTGATTATTATCTGGCTTCCCGCAGTAGAATGTAAACTTTATGAGGACAGGGATATTAGGGAAACAATAGAACATAGTGGTTAAGAGCATGGCTTCCAGAGCCAGACTGTCTAAATTCAAATCCCAGTTCTGCCACTTATCACTTGAGTAACTTTGGGAAAGTTACTTAACTTCTCTGTGCCTCAGCTTCCTCTTCTGTGAAATGGGGATAATAATAGTAATAATTCATAGGGTCATTGCAAGGATTAAATGGACTTAATACATGCAAAGCAGTATATCCCCAGTACCTAGAAGAGTGTCTGGCATGTAGTAGGTACCCAAAAAATATATGATGGCTGATTGCATGAATGAATCCTTGACGCCTCTTGCTCCTTCCCTCCTTTCTTGCCTAGTTTCCCCTCAGGACTCTTTGTTTGGGAAGCTTTTCCCTGACTGTTCCCTTGCCCACTGCCCAGGACTAAGCTGGTTCTCCTGTTATATGTGCTCCCAGAACCCAGACTTTTTTCAATCCCTAATTGCTGGGTATAGCTATATATTTGTGTGTGATCTTTGTAATAACTGGTCTCTCTAACTAAACTGCAAGCTTGATGAGGACAGGGCCTATGTCTGTCATGTCTACTATGGCATCTCTGCTGCCTGTCATATGCCTGACATAATAGGTATATAATAAATACTTCTTGGCTGGATGACCCAAAAACTTGGGCTCATTTTTCTCTTAGAAATGCCGATTAAGAAACATGACTTGAGAAATTTAGTAAGTATTTTGTAGCACTTTTTGAAAGGCAATTCAGATTGAAAGTTGTTGTTTCATCTCTGCCTCTTCTCTTAGTTCAGTTCATTATTGAAGCACAGGGAAAGATAAATGAATTCAAACATTCTGGCCTCCACTCTTTAAATCTTCATCTATTCCATGAAAGTATCATGTCAACAAGAAACTGGCTGGCTTCCCCTTTGCTAACTCTTTGAATTTTAATGGTATTCATCCCAATATACCCTGCCCTCCTTACCTGTTTCTTAGAAGTAAGGACAACGCTGATCCTGATAGGACTAAGATTTTTTATTCTCACTACTTCAAATCAATCAGTTTTTCTAATAAAATAATGCATTATAACTCACTGCTGGCACAAATTTTAAATATTCTCTCATCCATTATAGACTTTTGATCAATTGAGAGTTATTGAACACTTACTATAAGAAGGCTACCAGCTTGGCTTGAAGATATTGTTTTAAGTACTGCTTCAGGACAAGGAGCAGAAGGCTGTGGTTTCCTTCTATTCTCCTCTCTTTATCTGTAACATTTTCCTTCCTCTTATTGCTAGCCTGGTTTCTTACAACTCAGCAAGGAGCAGGTGAGACACTTGTTATTAAAGAGGTCAAGAAGCCACGACAAACCCATGGAAGCTAAGAGTCTTATGGACCCTTTCCTTTATTGGACACCTTAATTGTTACAAATAGCATAAACCTTCTTCCAAGCTCCAGGTGCTCCCAAGTCCCCTTCTCTAGATTAACTGTCATCTCCCTTTAATGTCCATGGATTGGGAGCATGTGACATACTTGGCCCTCTGAAGACTCCCCGTATTGGAGTATACCACCTGGCTGAAGTAACAGAGGCATTTGGATTCCAAGGGGGCAGCAGCAGCTTGATACAGGCCATGTGGGGCTTTGGGAAGAGCACAAGGCCCTGAATCAGAAGTCCTATTTCCGTGTAACTTTGGATAAGTCTTTTGCCTCTCTTGGCCTGTTTCCTCACTTGTGAAATAAGGTTTTGGATAGGCTTGAAAGAAAAGGTATTTGCCAAATTATTTTGAAAATCAGACTGTAAAGCTATTAACATATTTAGTTTAAACAGATACAAAGCCACATCTAGACCCTTACCAGACATGTGAACATAGTGTGAGGTAAAGATTCTAAGAGGAAGTGGATGGTGGAAGAGACATTAGTTTTAAAACCTCAAAGGCCATTCCTAAATTGCTTCCCACACATCCCCATACACACCCTCCATTTCTCCTCAAACCATAATTAGCTCATATTGTAGAGCAATTTATGTTTGACATAAATATATACATCTAAGACCCCATCTCACTTCTGGTCCCCATATTTTTTTCATAAATATTCCCTTCCTTAATCTGCAAGTAACTTGGTCCAACCTGAGGCCAGGCTCTAGCTTTGTAATGTACTGTGTGGCCTTGGACAAACCACTTTCCCTATCTGAGTCAGTTTTCTTCTCTGTAAAAGGGGATGAATCTACTTACCCCCTTCACAGTGGTTGTGAGAATGAAATGAGGGACTGCACATACAGCTCTCAGCACAGTATCTGATACATGCCAGGCACTTACATGGACTTCTTCTCTTCCCCCTCCTCTTATAGAACAGGGCTAGGGACAGTTCTTGGCTCTGGACTTTATGGTACAGTAGCTCAGACCCACAGTCTTTGTAACCCACCAACTCAATAGTCTTCAAATGCCTGCTAGTGGTATCATAAGATACGGATTTTCAAGACCATCAGGAAATTGTTAGGCTAGACACCAAGGAGAATTTCCTGGTTGTGAAAGTTATTATGTCTGGGATCTAAAGAAGAGAAGGGCTTCAATTCCTTCCCTGGAGAATTTTTAAAATCAGTGTGGACATCCAGAATGTCCTGAGATTCATGTTCCACTAACTTTTCTCTAGCTCCTAAAAAAATATTAAGCCCTGTATTCAGCACCATCTGGAGATAATCTCATTGAGTACTCACAACAAGCCTTTGAGGTGGGGCTAACTAGGGCCATTTTTCAGATGAGAAAACTGAGGCTCAGAAAAAGAAAGGCAAGCTCAATCAGAGAGAGCTCTAACTCACCTTTACTTGGGAGTGAGTCAAAGTCCTCCTTTTATCTAAAGCCCAGCTCTCTGGGCCTGTCCATGCTCTCTGAGTAACTACCTCTTACATGCTCTTATCTCCTCGAAATCATTCTCCACTTGCCTCTAGAGTCACCTCCCTAAGTCATCCCCCCAAATTTATCACTCCTGTGCTTTGAAACATAAAATAACTTGGCATTATTTGGTACACAGTAATCACTTAATAAATGTGTATTGGATGAATGTGTACCTATATGATTAAGTCCAAACTCTTTAGCGTGACATTCAAGGTCTTTCATAATCTGGCTACAACTTACCTTTTCTAGATACATCGCCCACTTCTCTTTCTTACCTCCACACCACATATATGAACCTTATATAAGCTCCAGACACCATGGCCCACTTGTCCTTTCCTTTCTGTATGTGTTGTGCTCTCTCCTGGAAAGTTCATCCTCCCCAATGATCTGGCAAATTCTCAGTCACCTTTTGAGACCAATTTAATCTTCTCTGCTCAGGTTACACTTTATCCATTCCTGTATTATGACAGCACACTGCACTATAATTAATGGGTTACCTTTCAGCCTCTCCCGCTCCTCAAAGGCAAGGACTTGCTTTTATTTATCTTTGCCTCCCCCAGTGCCGCCCCCAGTACCTCTTTCATTGACTGGCAAAGTCCGAGCTCAGTAACTGTAGAAAAACGTTAAGTGTTTCACCACACACACACACACAGACACGCACACACACATACACAAAAGGTAACTATGTGAGATGATGAATGTATTAATTAACCTGATTGTGGTAATCATTTCACAAAGTATATGTATATCAGTCATCGCGTTGTACACTAAATATATATGATTTTATTTGTCTATTATACCTCAATAAAGCTGAAAAAATATTTTTAAAAAAATCGTTGAGGGCTGGAAGGAAGGAGGTCATCTCCCACTCCCCAGCTTTAGCAGCTGCTCCCTCCTCCCTCCCGCCTCTTCTCCACCCCCGCCCCATTTCCATCTGAATGCCAACGCCACTAATTCCCTGGAAGTAGCCAGAACACTCAACATCTCAGAAGCAAATTCCACTGCAGATTTTCTCTCCTGCCCCAAAGTGTCAAGTAATCAGCGACTCCTGGTAGCCTTTCGGGGGTGGGTAGGCATGAGGGCCCCCGGAGGGGTGTGAATGAGTATGTCTCTCATCTCTTCAGTTGCCTTCGGGGGTATTTTATCCCCATTTTTTCCAAGCACAGGCCAGACGAATATCTCCCTTCCCTTGTACTCCTCACAACCTTTGACATAATTATCTGGGACAAATTGATTTGAAGTACGACCGCAGGAAGAGAAACAGGCGTGTTTCGCTTCGCCTTCTGGGAGTTGTAGTCTTGCCGCCCCCGGGCTGCCTGGCTGGCCCTGGAGCTGCGGACTACAGCTCCCAGGCCTTCTCCAAGTCCCCACCTCACAGGCTCAGAGCCCCAAGCCGGGAGGAGGTAGTTACATTGTGTCTATTGTATCCCTGGGCTTGTGTGTTTGTACATAGGACTTGAAACTGAGAGTGTAAAGCATGGCAGATGAGCAAGAAATCATGTGCAAATTGGAAAGCATTAAAGAGATCAGGTAAGTGGAACGTTGCAGGGCTCCCTCAGGCCCCCTCAAAGCCCCCAAAATCTCTCGCTGCGGGAGAGGGCTGAGTTATCTATGGAAAATGTCTCTATTGTTGGGCTACTTGCGGAGGGGGGCGGGAAAGGAGCCCATTCACCTCCGAATTCAAGGATGGGAAGGAGGTTGGGGAGAGTCGGAACTGAGACTAGTAGAGAGAGACAGAGAAACAAGAGAGACTGACCAAGAGAGACCTCTTGCCAGATGTGGCTGAGCAGGCCAGATGGAGACACACGGTGGGGGTGGAGGGGTGTTGGTCCCGAGATAGCTTTATTCTTCTTAGTGTGAGAGTTGGGGGATGGCATTCTTAGACCCATTATTTTTTTTAAGTGTTTGTTGGCTCAAAGGTGTATTTGGCTCCTTGATCTTTAGGAGTCGGAATTTTGTTTTTAGTCTCCCGTTCAACTTCCAGACCTGGAGCTCGGGCAAATCTTTTAAGAGCAGAGCCTAACGCGTCAGGGCTGTTGGCGGTTGCAAGGGACTGCTGGCAGGGGTTGGGGGGCGGTGCGGAGGAATCTCGACAGGCCTGGACTGGGAGGACGGCAAGTGCGCGTTTGTGTTTTTGTTTGGTTTCACTCACTCGCCACTTTGTTCCTCTCCTACCCGGTGCTTGGGAAGGGGATGGGAGCCATGGAGACTGGGGAGGCAGACACCACGCCTGGTGGTGGGATTAAAACAGCTGATCAGAGCCACTAGAGGTGAAGGGCAGGCTAGCAAAGTGGGGGTTGCCTGCATTCCCACGGCTGCGCTTTGGGAGCGGCTGTGGCAACGTAATGACGTTGTCCTTGCTTAGAACGCAATAGTGCATGGCAAGGGGACTGCCTGGGCCGGCACCAGGCCTCCCAACCCTGGCTTCCACCCTCATTGTGACGGTGGCCAGGATTCGGCTCTCTGCGTTTAGTGTTTTCCAGGAACCTGGAGAACAAGAAGGGAGGATATCAAGTGTGTCCCTTTAAGAAATAAGACTCTGACCAAGAGATTTAACCCTTGGAGTGAATGCTTCGGGTAAGACTCATACATGATGGTGGCGGTGGGAAACATCTTGGCTTTTTTGTCCTTTGGAGGGCTTGCATCTCCAGGAAGGGAACTAGTATTTATTGATCCCCTGTTGTGCCAAGTGCCTTGACCTACTATCGCTCATTTCAGCAAGAGTCCTGAGAGCTTCCTACACCTCCTTTACAGTGGGAAAATGGAGGTTCAGAAAATTTAACTAACTTTTCCAGAGCCAAACAGCTTAAAAATGCCAGATTTTGACAGGAACCCAGTCAATCTGCATGCAGAGGCTCTGGTCTTCTCACCCTATCCCACAAAGGGTCTGGGAAAGGGTCAGGGGTTGGGGTATGTTGCAAGTTTTTTCTGCAAAGGCTTCGAGAGGTAGGGAGTAGGATACCTTGGTGCAGGAAGAGGTCAGCTGTCATAACAACAATGCAGCTAATAAGAGGCTTAGGCCTGCAAGTGGAGAGTCTAGACTTCTATGCTTACCAAACTTTAAAGGAACCTCTGCCCAACCCCAAGAGAAGGAACAGTTGGGAGCAAGGAAAAGTGACCACTCCCAGTGGAGACCACATGGGAGGCCATGACTTCTGCCCTCACCAGTGGTAGTCCAGGCATTCCTACCACTACTAGTTGAGATGGGATCATCAGAGGCCTAGAGAGAAGGCTGAACTTCCAACCTCAGCCATCAGTAACAAGGAGCCCCTCCCTAACCTGGATGTCAACCAGAGACCCAGTGGAAAACATGGACTTCTACTGCCCCCCATCCTTGCAAAAGGAGCATGTCAGAGAGGCCTACAAAAACAAAAGATTTAAAAGAGATCCAGAGAGTCTAAATTTAATTGAAAAAATTTACTTGCCATACCAAAATTATCAACTTAAATGACAAGAGAAAGTAAACAGATGCCAGCATTGTGATGACACAGACAGAATTACTGACAAGGATTTTAAAGCAGCAATCATAAAAATGTTTCAACACACTTGAAACAAATGATAAAATAGAAAATCTCAGCATATAAAAAGAAAGTATCAACAAAGAAATATGAAACATAAAAAAGATCCAAATGGAAAGTTGAGAACTGACAAATGCAATAGCTCAATGGATGAGCTCAACAGCAAGACGGAGAAGACAGAGGAAGGAATCAGACAACTTAAATACAAAACAATAGAAATCACCCAATCTGAACAACAGAGAAAAATTAGATTCAAAAAAAAGAAAAAAGAAACAATTGAGCAGAGCCTTTGGACCTGTGGGACTATAATAAAAGATCTAATATTCATGTCAACAGAATCTCAGAAAGAGAGGAGAAAGAGGGCAGGACTGAAAAGCACTTAAAGAAATAGTGGCTTAAAACTTCCCAAATTGAGCAAAGGACATAAACCTCCAGATTCAAGAAGTTAAGCAAACTCCATCAGGATGACCCCTCCCCTGCGACCCAACTCCCACCAAGACACATCATAGTCAACCTTGTGAAAACAAAAGGCAAAGAAAAGATCTAGAAAGCCAATGAGAAACAACACCTTACCTATACCTTCAGGGGAAAACAATTTAGAATGACAGCAGATTTCTCATCAGAAACTGATGAGGCCCTAGTGGGAAGCAGCACGTTTTTCAAGTGCTGGAGGAAAAGAATTGTCAACCTAGAATCCTGTGTTCAGTGATAATATCCTTCAGGAATAAAGGGATAATCAAGACATTCTCAGATGAAAGAAAACAGGGAATTTATCAGTAGGAGGTCTACCTTGTAAGAATGACTAAAATAAGTTCTTAAAACAGAAAAGAAACAATAAAAGAAGGAACCTTGGAAGAAAGAACACAGTAAGGAAAAACATGGGTAAATACAACAGAATTTCTTTTCCTCTTGAGTTATCTGAATTATATCTGATGATTGGATCAAAATTTTTCACAGTCTCACGTGATTCTGAATGTATGTAGAGAAAATATTTAAGACATTTATTATAAACAGGGGAGTGTAAAGGGGTGTAAAAGGGTAAGGTTTCTATATTTCACTTGAACTGGTAAAATGACATCAGAAGTCTGATAAATTCTCTCTCTCTCTCTCTCTCTCTCTCTCACTCTCTCTCTCTCTATAGATATGTATAATGTACTAGTGAGAGCAAACTCTAGAAAAGCTCTACAAAGAGATGCACTCAAAAACATTATAGATAAATCAAAATGGAGTTCTAAAGAAAGTTCAAGTCACCCACAGGAAGGCAGGACAAAGAAAACAGAAAAAGTAAAAACAGAACAAACAGGTAACAAAAAATAAAATGGCACTTAGCCTTAACATATCGATAATTAGGTTGAATATAAATAGTCAAAACACTGATGAAAAGACAGAGTGGATTTAAAAAACATGACCCAACTATATGCTGTCTACAAGAAATGCATTTCAAATATAATGATATAGGTAAGTTGTAAATAAAAGGATGGAAAAGGATACCAGGCAAATATCAATCAAAAGAAAGCGGGAGTGGCTATATTAATATCAGATAAAGCAGATTTGATAGCAAAGAAAATTCCCAGGGACAGAGTGGAACGTTGCATAATGAGAAAGGTTCAATCCATCAAGAAGACATAGCAAGTCTAGATGTGTGTGCACCAAAAGTGATTTAAATTAGCCTGCTTTTGACAATTTTACAGTAATATAGAAGGGTTATGTCACTTGATTTAAGAATTTAAAATGGGAAAAGTACAACAAATACACACTTGATGTTCACAAATGGACAGGTAAACATATACGGGACGTGGAGAGAAGGAAGGAGCAAAGGAAAGGGTAGAAGGAGCTGGAGAAAGGAACTAACGTTTGTTGAACACCTACTAATGTCAAGGCTCTTGGCTCCTTTAATGCTTAATCTTCCTAATGGAAATCTGTGGTGAGAATTATTATCCCCATTTACAGATAAGGATACTGAGGCTCAGAGAGCTTAGGTAACCTATCTATGGTCACACCAGCTACGAAAGGAAGAGAGAATATATCCTCCTATTCACATGGCATATGCATTTCAACAAATGTAGATAATCTGCTTAATCATTATTCACAGTTTGTCAACTGCTTTAACCCTAAATCCCTTAAAGGTATAAGCAGGGCAGCCTATTTCTGCTAAAAAAAAAAAATCTTACTTCTGGGCTGAAGTAAAGTTATGACGGCAGTATAACCTAAAGACCTGATTAAGTCAAGCTGAGAGCCAGACAAACACCCCAGGCACAGGCACAGAAATATACCCATTCATAGTCAGTGCTCCTGCACACCAATGGCAGAATTTGAAGTGGGAAATGTCTCAGGAATGGATTCTCCCACCACAGACCAGTCCCCACTCCTGACTCTGTCCACATGCCCAGCCCTGCCTTTCCTCCCAATCCCAACCACACTCCAACACTATGCTCTAGACTTCAGCCCCCAAATCCCACACTAGTCTATTTTGTCCATCCGTTCCTTGGGCTTTCAAGTGGTGATGAAGGAGCATGTGGATATGTGGAAAAGGGAAGACAAGAATGGAACAAAAGAAGGGAGATGGAAAGGAGGGAAGGAAAGGAGAAGAGGCCATGAGGTAGAGAAAGTGAGTACAGATATCACTAGAGGTACCAGATCCCTTCACCAGCTCCCCAAATGCGTATTAATGTCTCCTTAACGTGCACATGCCATCCATACGCACACATTGCACACACCCATGCTCCAAAGCACACATATCTGTACACAATGAGCTTTCCTCGCTTAAGAAAGGAAAAACTCATTTTGGAAGTAAATATCGTGGTGTTAAGTAGACCCTCTTAAGTCTAAGTCTCTGCCCTGGATCCTCTCTTTTTCTCTCTACACATTCTCCTGGATGACCTCCTGTACTCCCATGGCTTCAAATGTTATCTCCAAATCCTCAATCTCTACTCCCTACCTTCCTTCCAAGCTTCAGCCCAATATATCCCACAGCCTACTGGGCTTGTGCACCTGGTTGCCCCCCAGACACAG